CACCGGCCTGGACAGCCACGTCCGCGCGCACGGGGCTGGGAAGGCCGGGGAGGCCCGGGGCCAGGCGGGGAGAGCAGACCCGGGACAGGGGCCAGCAGGGGCCAGGCGCGCAGGGCCGGCGCGATGGGTGGACACAGGTCCGCAGGGACCTCACACCCCTTTTCTCTCAGAAGAGAAACGCGACTACTTCCACTCCTGCCAACCAACCAGGGTCTGTCCGCGTGCCACCTGCCCTGCCAAGAGGAAATTTTAGAGCGAGGACACCCAGCATGTGGCCCCTTCTATAGGAGTGTGAACTTGGGCGTCCGTCCTCTCCTGATCTGGGCTGGAAGGCCTTGATTGCCTTTAGGGGAAGGTGGCTGGTGGTTGGAAAGATCTGGAAATAAGTAAGATCCTCCAGGGAGAAGAGAGGGGGGAAAAAAGGTGAGTCTGCTTCTCCTCTCTGTTCTAGCAGAGAGGGAGAAAGAAGGACTGAGACTCCTCAGGGTGGGGGGTGCGAGGAGGAGGGGAGGAAGGGTGTGAACAAGGGAGGGGCCGCTGGTACCCTCGGAGATGGCCAGGCTGCAGCGCTTGACTGGCCTGTGGTTCAACAAGTTAAACCGCCGCTCGCTCGCTCTCGGAGCTGGGGTGTGGAGACGGGCAGACGTCCTCATTGACAGAGATCTCCCTGTTGTTTGTCCAGCCTGAGACCTTTTCTCAATGACTGTTTGTCTTTGGGGGGCCTAATGAGGGCCCCCCGGGCTGGGTGGGCCACCTCTGTTTGGTTTTTCTGCCTCCAGCTTTGCCTGACAGAAATAGGAGCCTTCGGGTTGTCTTGATCATGGCCAAGGGCTGAGCTGTGGCAGCCACTGACGTGTAGTGCATGCATCTCCAGGGAGAGGTGTTACTGATCATTTTCTCAACTACAAAATGGAGACAGACTGGATCAGATGATTTAAAAACAAAAGGATGCATTTTTAGTCTGGTGGGTCTTATATTAACTTTAAAAAAAATGAGTGACCCTTCCAGAATGGGTCTAGGGGTATGAACCACATGAATGGAAAAGAATTTGAAAGCCTACGATGCTGCTCTTGGTTCCAACATTTACAGGTTGCTCAAACCCCTTCCTCTGGGGGACAGGGGAGAGCCTGCCCAGCATAGTTCACAACATTGGAACAGACACCTGGAGCAGATCAGTAGGCCTTCTACAGTAATTTTAAATTCGAGATGTGGCAGAGTTTTATTGTATTGTATTTATTTTTGGACGCTAATGGAACACTTCTACCTGCAGGATTTCATATGAAATCCTAGCTGGGAAATTAGGATGTTTCGGTACTTTTTTCCTCCCCCCTGACCAAAGACAAATCATTTTGCAATCCATGCGGGCAAATTCCCATCAGAGCGCTTCTCTCCAGCTTCCAAATTGGACAATGGCCAAAGGAAGATGGAATGGCGCTCCAGGGCTCTCACTTTTCTTTCCTGTGGACCTGCAGGCCACAGAACTCACTACCCACTCCTGTGTGACATTTGTCTAAGTAACGACATCTCCTCCCTTCCCCACCAGGCCCAAAGTCAGAACATGAGATACAAGGCTTCGCTGGTGATGAGGAGACGTTTACGTATTTACCGAAACACTCTGAAAGAGTTGGGTAAGTTCGCATCTTCTTTTAACCTCTGACTCGCTGGAGCTTGGGGAGGCTTGTTCTCCTGTGTGCGCACACACGTGAACGCACATCTGGATCTATGAAGTCGTGTCTGGTCTTCTGCTGAGGTTTTGGGCTTGGAGAGTTTCAGTGAGACTCGGCGAGCCACACACACCTTGGTGCTGGCTGGGTTTGCAGGCAACTCAATGACAAAGCTAGCAGCTGCTAACCGCCCCCCCACCACATTGCCTTCCTCAGCTGAAGGCTTCCAGAATTAATATCTGACGACTCCTCTCGTCGTCGAAACAACCACCCCTGACCTTCTGCAGTTCCACGGTCGCATTATTCGATGACATATTCATCTTGAATTCATTTCCGGACGATTTGATTGGAATGAGGTTTGACATGTATTGGCTTCCATTAAAGACGCTGGCTTTGATCTCCGTGATGGGGTTTACACCAGGAGCAGGGACACCAGCCTTTTGCAATGTGGCAGTTGGGATGGACGGTCGCACAATGGGGTGGTGTCTGGCCAGGGAGTGACTGACAGTCACTCTGTCAGGAATACCTTCATTGTGAAGAATTTAATTTAATATTCCATTTCAAACAAGCATCTGATTTAGGGTTGGGTGTTTTCCCTTTCCAGGCCAGACTATTCTCCTGCTTTCTACTCTACCACGAGCCCGGGGTTGGCTCCAGAGATGTCCCCTGTTGGTAGGCAGGGTGCCCTTCTTGACAGAAGTTAAGTGAATAAGGCAGGAAAACGGCTCTGTTCTATTATTTGGGGATGATTTGATGGCTGAAGTCTCCAGAGAGATGCGATGTGGTTCTTATGTAAATGTAATTGTCTCCACCCTTGAATGCTGTTTTGGGTAGATTTCTTTAGCAATGTCTCCTCATCTCCTGTTCAAAGACATACCACAGAAACATTGGCTGGAAATTAAATTCTATCCAAGCATATTTTCTTCCATGCTCTGGTCCATGAATGATGGTTGAAGCCCACCCACAACTCTCCAGAGCAGAGAAGAAGAGAATCCTTTCCCCTCCCCACCCCCAGTCCTTTACAAAATCCTGATAGAACTCATCTTCTTGGCACAGCTTGGGCTGGGACCTGTGACTGACTGCAGGGGCTGTACTTCTTTCTTAAGACTAGATAGCAGAGATTTCTTTTCCACGAGACTAGATAGCAGCAACGGATGTCCATGAATGAAAAGCCTTCCCAGAGATATAGTTCACATGTGGTATGATCACCTAGTCAGACATAGAGCCCAGGACGGGCTCTGGTGCCTGTAGAATTAGAAGAGGAAGATTCAGAATGTCCTGGGCCAGGCCCACAGCTCCTCAGCAGCATGGTAGCCGCGGATCATCTCCCTTTAGCGTTGTGTCAAAGATCAACACTGGGAGGAAACACAAAAAGAGCCCAGCCACCGACCTATACTCCCTCTACTTTCTCTTCCTTTCTCCCCGGCGGAGAGCTCAGGCGTTTCTGCCAGTCCTAGGAGGGGCTCTGACAGATGGCAGAGCCACCAAATGTCCTATTTCTGGAAAGTAGGGCTCCAGAGTCCCTTGTTTACACCATTCACGGTGAGCCGAGGTGCCTAGGCCATGATTCTGGGCACCGAGGGCGCGGAGAAGGCTGGGGGCAGAATCTGAAGGCTAGGCTAGGCTGGCGGTGGAGGCTGCTCCCCACGGCCAGCTCCAGAGCTTCCGGTGCTTTCTCTCGGACATCTGGTGAACACCCCAGGGCTGCACAATACTCCTTTTCTCTGAAAATTAAGCAGAAAAGGGACCCCCCCTCCCTGTTTGAACGCAAGGCAAGGTTAGGAGTGGTGTATTCTCCAGCCAAAACGTTGAATGGCGGGGAAAGGGGCCAGTGACAGGCAGATTCGGAGGACCAGTGTGGGACGGGTATCGCTTCTGGCAAACTCAGTCTTGGAATTCTGAGATCTTCTTGCTTCCTGAGATCTCCAAGGGGAATCCCCTGAAAGACACATACATACACACACATACATTCATACACACATACACACACATACATACATACATACATACACACACATGCATACATACATATGTGTATGTATGTTTCCACAGCATCTGTACTTCTATGCCTGTGGGTCATTTGATAACTGCGCAGCGGCTTCTTTGAGAGATACCTCTTGAAGACCCTGACCTAACCACCAAAGTTCCTTGTTTGGAAATATTCATGGGTTTAAAAACTAAACAAAACAGCACCCATTCCCCCTCCCTTTTTTTTTTAAAAAAAAAAATCCTGTGCCACTCCCTCTGGGAAAATGTCCTTGTAGGAATAAAAAAAAATGTCGGGTCTCACGGCCCTGCTCATTCATGCGAACTGCCGGCCATATGTTACCAGGGAAGGTGTGAGGGCTGAGCACCTCTGTGACCCACGGGGTTGAATGACCTCTGACTACTGGAGAAACTACCCAGAATGGGTGCAGATGTTTGCCTGGCTCAAAGCGAAGGCAGCAGCGTCTGGAAGGGAGCTCCAGGGGGCCCGGCCTACTGTCAGTGATTTTTGGCTGATTCAGATGTGTCTACCCTTTTGCTGGTGGAGCAGAAAGTCATACACATGTTCATCGCTTTTCAAGGGCAAGTTTAGCCAGGGAGAGAGAGAGGGAGTCTAGCAGACAGAATCCGCTTCTGTAGATAAAGCCCAGGCTGTGTTATGGCCAGGAGTCTACAGAGTCAGAGTTGAGAATTCAGGAGATCCAGAAACTTGGATGGGAAAAAGAAAAAAAAAATTAAAGAATACATCTTCCCTTCTCACGCTGCTAATGGAAAAGCCACATTTTCCTCTGTTATGATTAAGAGCAGCACAGGACATGGCGATAGACAGACAGCCAGGCTCACAGGGCCTTTCCAGAAGTGTCTGAGGTCTAAAACAGATGTCTGTTCTGTCAGAGCTGAGATTCGAAGCTCCTGTGGTGGGGAAGGGCGGAGTGGGGGGGGAGAGTGTGTCAGTCCACACCACGGCCCTTCCTTGCACGTTCCTTACGTTCAAGTGGAAGACAAACAGAATAATGGCTGGACTGGGACAGAAGAGCACTGCTGCACACGCTGTCCGTGGTCAGTTCCTGGGGTGTGGAGGGATGGTAGGAGTCCCTCGCACAAGGAGGGCTGGAGAAGGAACCGGGGGACCTGGGTTTGGGGTTTTGTTTGTTTGTGTTTGGAGTTCTTCCTGAGCGTTTAACCTTGACTGCTCGGGACAGCTGCTTCTTTCCCGACCGGAAACAATTCACGGAGATTTGGAGCAGTCTTAGAGGAAGGGGAAGCTCGTAGAGAGGCCGGGGAGTCCGCTTGGAAAGGTTTCAACCCTGCTGGGGAGGGGGCGGGTGTGGAGAGCAGGAAGAGCCTGGTCTACCGTCCAACGCCCTCCTTCTTAAAAGTAAAAAAGAAAAGCAAAATGCACACACAGAATGTGTTGATAATGAAGCTCTTCCTGCTGGAGAGGCAGAAGCTCAAATCTGAGAGACCGATATTGTGGAGGTGAATACCTTACTGGACCCGTCAGTACATTAAAAGAGAAAGAAGACCTTCTCTCTTCTGTAAAACGGATCACATAGTGTCCAGTAGGCTTGGCTGTGGAGGGTGCTCTCCACTCCTGGGTGACCCCCAGAGTCAGCCCCAACTTTTTTCCTCCGCGAGAAATTCCTTAGAATTTCTTTAAAAAAAATAATAATCCAGGACTTTGTGTGCCTGGGAGCTTTTTGTTTTGTTTTGTTTCTGCAGTCAGGGAGGTCTGAATATTTTTGGCTGGCGTTTTTCAACCATGGGGAGCAGGAAGGGGTCGGGGCTGCAGCCTTTTAAATCTCTGGACAGACTGCAGCAGCTGACCCTGGCTGGTCCCCGCACACAAAGGACACTGCCTCCTGCTCAGGCCACACTCCACTGGACCAGAACTGAAGTTTTTCCTCCACTCACGGCCTTCCCCCCCCCCCAACGCCATCTCACTGGGGCCGCTGGATTTGAGGGCCAGGCTGGAGGCCAGCTGCCCCCCCCCCAAGCCTCCCAGAGTCCAGGACTGTGAAATGCATTCTCCACCATTGGCCAGGATGAAGACAGACAAGGCAGACAGGGCAACAAGTGTCCTGAGCTGTGGGTGGACGCCATCTCCGGGCCGGGGCCGGGGCTAGAGCCTGGCGGCCAGGCTGCCTGGTGCCCAGTCCTGGCTGGGATCAGGGACCAGATGTTCAGCTGCAGAGTTGGAAGGTGGACACTGGCAGGAGGGGCTGGACGGACAGACTTAGCGGTGGTGAGGCGAGAGGGGATGGGAGGAAGGGTTGGGTGGCAAGCGGGGGAAGTGGGGGGAAGACGGAAAGAATACCTGGGTGGGCAAAGACTTTTCAGAGAATATGAGAAAATAAAATAAAACGGCCCAGGCTGCTTTTCCAGGACTTTCTTGCTCTCCCACCCCCCTTGATCTGCCCGCTGTTCCCCCGTGGGCCTGGGGGGGGGGGACGGAGGTGAGGCCAGGCCAGGCCTCCCTCCCCAGGCTGCTCCAGCCTCGGCCTGCACGGGGTGGGAGGAGAGAGAAAGGAATCCAAGCCAGGAGCAGAGCACAGGGGCTGAGCAGCTGTTGGGGTAGGGAGTGGGGGGGGGGGTGAGAGAAAGTGTGTGTGTGTGTGTGTGTGTGTGTGTGAGAGAGAGAGAGAGAGAGAGAGAGAGAGACAGACAGACAGACCCAGATGAGAGAAAGGAGGAAGGGAGGGAGTGGGGGTCAGAGAAAGTGTGTGTGAGAGAGAGGGAGGGAAAGGGGTGGGAGAGAGGAGAGGAAGAGAGGGAGGGAGGGAGGGAGTAGAGGGTGTGGGGGAGAGGGAGGGGAGGGAGGGAGGGGTGGTGGGCCATCATTCCCGCCTGGCCCCTTCTGTTCATCTCCCTAGCGCCCACTGCTGCTTCCCGACTAGGAATCTCAAGTGGGCCTCACAGACCCCAGAAGGAAGGGAGGAGGGGAGGAGGGGAGGAGGGGAG